ACAAACTTCAACTATCAAAACTGTAATTTTTCCAGCGCTTCCTTGATAAATGATTAGTATTTTGTCATCGCTTGTATAATGCATTCTTGAAACTTTGGAACCGAATATCTCGAAAACTTCCATCTTGAAGGTCATGCGTTTTTGACATATTCGTACTCAGAAAAATGTGCTCTATCGAAATCCGTGGAAAAAAATATGGGCTGCCATTTAAAAAAATTGCCGATGACGTCATACATCAAAAACAAACGAAACAAAATAAAAGTCGATGGCTGAAAAAAGTGACATTTTATAAACTAAAGTTGACGTGTCCGAGGATTTCCTGTCAAAACCCTTCAATAACGATTTTTCGAATTTATTCCAAACTTTACGAGCTCTGTGTATAATACAAAACCTTCATTGAGTAACTATATTTATCGGACCAACGTAAAGAAACCTGCCCTATTGTTAAGTCACTCGTCCTCCAGATTCTATTCTTGATCTTACGCAACTGGCAGACAAGATGAGTTTGGTCAATTTATATCTGTTTAAACTTTTTCGAACTTCAACCAAATACCACCAATCGTCGAGGTAACCTTTTCATGCGGATTCATTTTTAAAGGCAGTTTGGTTTTCTCGCTTAGGGTAACTTTAAAGTCCTTCAAAGTGGATGTCAGTCCGACTTTTGTTTGTAGAATTCCAAATCTTTCACCTACAAATCAATGACCAATTAAGTACCATGTACAAATAGAGAGTACAGGAAAATATTGACTTAGAATTCAAGGAAAACAAAATTCTTCTGCCGACTTTGATGTCCTGTGGTTTAACTAAATCAGTTATTTTGACAGGAATCTGGCAGTTTGTATACCCAATGCAGTCCCTCATAGTCATAGCACTTACCAATACATACTCTGGGACCTTCCCCAAACGGCAGATGGGCGTAGGGATGCCTGGCCTTCTTGTTCTCCGCACTGAACCTGTCGGGGTCAAAAACTTTGGGATTCTCGTAGTGGTCTTCGTCGTAGTGTATACCTGTTGCAGGTATGAAGACGATGGTGCCTTTTTCTAAGATAAAATCTTGACCAGGTATTTTGTAGTCTTCGGCACTTTCTCTTGTCAAAAGTGGGATGGGAGCGTACATCCTGAGGGTCTCTGGAAAAGGCAAGGTCACGTTTACTGATTTTCTTAAAATTTTGGATAACTAGGAGATACTGCTATTTTGACATGCAGCTGTTGCTGTCTAATCTCTCACGTACACTCCAAGTAAGTTTACGTCTGAGACAGCAGCGGCCCCTTTTGGATGATTCGCCTTTTACTTACCGTCGATGACTTGTCTCATGTAAACTAACTCATTGATCGAATCGTAAGTGATTTTGTTGTCGTGTTTCGCGAGGACTGTGCGGATTTCTTCCCTTACTTTGTCCTGGATGTCGGGGTTCCTCGCCAATTCAAACAGGGCGAAGGTCATGGTGGTGGAGCTGGTCTCGAATCCAGCTACGAAAAAGACGAAGCTTTGCGCTATTATCTCTGGCATGGTCAGGGTGTTACTGTCTTCTGCAAGTTCAAACACGTGATTATTATTGTTTCAATTACGTACCTATACATTTTTACATTTATTGCCACATTAGTTTAAGTCATGGCAAGGAAGCTGGTTCGAAGGGTCTCTACTGGAGGTCTAAAGTCACAAATTGTGCGGAGAAAAATTAGAATATGGAAAATTAGGAAGAATTGAACTTTCCTTGCAGTCCAGGATACAAAGATAGGCCAGGAAAAAGAGCTGAGAAATGTCCATTTCGCGCCTATAGATACTAAATATTATGTACAATAATAAATTAGTTTGCACAGTCATAAAAATGGGGGGAAGATTGTTTACAGGGTGATTAATTGTATAATTTTTACGTAAATTCACGTTTTTCTAATATTAATTAGATCAAATTTCGGAATTAAGTGGATTGGAAATAATGGGCTTCAGAGTCTCCAGACTTAACGCCCCTAGACTATTTTTTATGGGGAACGTTAAAAAATCAATTATATAAGACACCCACAAGAAGTTTGGAGTATTTAAAGCAAAAGATTCGACTTGTTTGTGAGATTCTTTTAAGAGAAACGTTATTTAAAGCTACAAAGGAAGTTGGCAAAAGATTGGATAAATGCTTAGAAGTAGGAGGCATGCATATCGGACATTTTTAAAAGTGATAATCATAATTTCATATTTTGTTTTGTGTTTTGTTATTAGTTATTATTATATTTATTAGTTACAATTGTTTAATATTTTCTATATTTGGTTATTTTATTTAACCGTCATTATGTGTATTGTTCTATTTTTCTTCGTGGAGTGACCTTTTTTAAGAAGAACATAGAAATTATATGTAAACAAATTTGTGACAGGAGTTACAGCGATTGTTTTTCACAGTAATGTTGATGAAGTCATGACTAGTTCCAATACAATAGAATTCATATTTGTGTAATGTTTGTTATTTTAACTTTTTAAGTAGAAGAGATAGGGAAAAAATTTCTGCATAAAAAATGTTGATAAAAAAATAGATAATTTTAGTTATCATAGAAAATGGGTATGTTGATGTATAACGTCATCATAACATATTATAAAACAAAGTCCTCCGCTGCGTCTGTCTGTCTGTTCGCGATAAACTCAAAAACTACTGCACCGATTTTCATGCTGTTTTTACAAATGGATAGAGTGGATTCCGAGGAAGGTTTTAGTGTATCATTTGTTAAGTTTTTGTATACATTAACGATGTTTGTTGGAGGTGTCGGAAAAAAAATAAGCCGTCTGGGAGCTTTCAAGAAAACGCTGCCTAAACCCTTTGAGATATAACAAAATAATGTATGGTGGAATTGTGTATCTTATATATGCCTACAGAAAAGTCTGCAATGGCATATGTCTATATGTTAAAGAGTAATATGTTAATACTACCTATATTCAATTTAATACTTTAAGAAATTGGCAATTATAAAGCGGTAATGTAAAAGCTATTTACACAAATACGGTATTAATCCTTATCATTTCAAATAAGTTAGAGGCTTGAAGCATTTCATGCACATTATTTTACTCTTTTACACCATATAATTTAAATGAATATCTTAGGAGTAATCGCAAAAAAATTACGGACGCGAGAATAAAATTCAAGCGCCTCGCTTCGCTTGATGCGATTGCCGACCCTCCCCCCGCACCGTCTTGCCTGCTGTTTAGCTAATAAGCCGAACGATAACGCGCGCGTAATCCTTTAATAAACTGACTTGGAGCGAATGGAGGTGATGACTGACGACTGTGTTTTCTTTCTGGGTGTTGTTGGAAAGTTATAATTGCATTCGATATTTTAAGGTCACATTTTTGTTTTGTATTTGTTGTCGTTAGGTAGTCGGAACATACATAGATACTTGCAAACATACTTTTATTTCATTGAGTTTTAATAATTTGTTTGTTTTTTTCTTATTGTGAATCATTTAAAACTTCATAGTAGCATTTTTGTTTCGTGTTTATTTTCTTTAGGTAACCTAACCTAACTACTTACTTATTAATTAAAATTGATAGGTACTTTAATTTAATTCGTTTTGTTTTCACATTGTTGGTAGTTACCTATATTGTTTTAAATTTAAAGGTTTTGCATTTTTAGTTGTGAGTTCGTTTGTTATCTTTAGGTATATAGATATATCGCGAATTATTTTAAAATTAATATTAGGGTCGCATTAGATGAAAGATGATTGATTTTTTGTTTGTTACGATTTAACTCAAAAACTACTCAACCAATTTTAGCGGAAGCTACATCTCCTCGGAGTAACATAGGCTATTTTATATTTGCCTGTGCGAAGCCGGGGCGGGTTGCTAGTTTTTTTATTTTCCGAATTTTGAAATAATGTTTTTTAAGTGCAAAACGGACCTTAGCGAGTCCCTTTTCACGCCATCTAATCAGATTTTTACTGTAGTTTTTCGTTTGTCTGTTATGGGAACGAGACGCGAACTTTGGGACACCCTATACATAAAAGATTTGCTACCATCCTATCACACCTTTGGCCCTCATACCTGTAGTATTGTCATCTTTGTTCCTCATCTCCATGAGCAGCTGCATAAAGTCGTTGCGCCTGAGGTTGTTCTTCTCCCTGTACGAGATGGTGTCGTGCACGACCGATGTGTAGAATTCGCAGGCTTCTTTCTTGAACACGCGGAGAGAAAGGGCCCTAGCGGCTTTGGGGAAGCTGATGCAGAAGGCCTCTTTCATCAACTCCAATGTGGAGCTCTCCAAGATCTTCTTCCCATAGACCCTGAAAGGAGAATTGGGTTGTTCGAAGCTGTTGCATTCCAGACCAAACGCGCACGAGCCGATGATGTCCGTAGAAAAACGACCTAGAAGGAAATATCTTTACTAAAAGATAAGGTGCTAAGTTATTTACTTCAGAGCGACAACTATGGGCAGAAGAGTTATAAATAAATCAAACCGCAATTTTTACTAATATGCAATATGCATAAATAAATGCCAAACGTTGCAACGGAAACTTGGCAACAGCGCACAATTATGCTGAGTTTATTATATGTAAGTTGGCAGTCCTTGAGTGTTTAATTGTTGAATTTTGAAATAAAAAACCAAAGTATGAAAAAATAAGGTTACAAAGTCTCCACCTTAGAGCATATACTATATGGAGGAAGCACGCTTACAGTAACATTGCAGATGAGTGACAGAGAGAGAAAAAGATAGTTGCAGCACTATATTTCTCTCTCGCGCAGGCACGTGATTGGATAACGCAACTCTCGCTCTCTCCACTCGGGCGAAGGGGGGATCTCCCAACTCTTCATCAACGATTAGAGAGAGAAAGAGAGAGAGAGAGAGTACGCAAACTATGTTACTAATACACATTTACTTTCATTAACGTTTCATTTTCCTCACCTAAAACATCCTTAATATCCACGACTTGCTTGCCTGCAACTTCATCCTTGATATACTTTTCTAGGATCACACCAGAGTCCGCCATTGTCTGGAACATCATCTTCATCTTCCCGGATGTGAATGTCGGCGTCAGTTTGGCCCTCAAGTTCTTCCATTTCATTCCGGTTATGGCAAATAGATGCGCACCTAAAAATTTTAACTAGTGCAGTTATTCTTCTGAAGGAGTATTAGTTACTGATTATTTTTCTGGAAAACGGTCAAGTTGGATAAGTCATGCAAAGAACCGATTTTTAATTTACTAACGTTATTTCTTTTAACTAATTAACACCTTGTATGTTTTCGATGCTTACTTATTGGATCGGCCTTTTCGTTAAAATAGACCCCTCTGTCCATAAAATTGTTGAAATCTTTTGTCATTATACGTTTCACCAAATCCAAGTCAAGCACCATGTACACTGGAACCGCCATTGTATAGAGTCCACAGGCCTTCCAACCTAAAAAAAAACAATTCTGCTAATGTACAGACCCTTGTAATAACTTCAAAAGGTTATTCGTGTGGTTATTTTGGACAAAAAAAAAGCATTTTGATCTAAAATGACCTAAGGAGAAACTTCATAAATTTAAGTTATGATAAACTTAGAAAATGGATAGCATGTAAATTGCACGGAGATCAAAAAGAGTGAAAGCCCCAAATGGGATCTCTGAGGGACTCCACTAGTTTCAATGAAAATGTCTGACCAAAAGCTATTGTAAGAGAGACATGTTGCTTGTGACTTATTAAATATTATACTAGCGGTGATATAGTTATTTACATTATAAAGGAGGTAAGTATTATTTACTAGTCGACGACGATTTTGCGCCCGAGCGGAGCGAGGGCAGGCAATAGAGTCCGAGACTGGTAAATTATACTTAACTGCTGCGTGGTGTATAACATTTTATCTGCTCCCATAAGATTCATGAAATAAACATTAGGTTTTATTTTTTGACATTTCTTAATTAATTCATTTCGACATTACTCAAAATCTTGTAAAGTCGCCTTGGTTGTTTGGATTTTGGTGTTTCTAAGGTTTTTATAAACAAAGCTACATAAAATTTGCAATTTTGCTGGTTCTGAATTATTATTTCTAAATCAGTGGTTTTCATATAGAAAGAAGTATTTTCATAGAGGAGAACGTGGATATATCAAAATACCCCAAACTGAGAGCATTTTTGAAACGTAAGAATGACGGCTATACACCTAAAAAGTCAAACGTTTTTATGAGAGAACAAGTCAACGATTTTTTCATTCAGGAACCCGATAACACATATTTGCTAATGAAGGTAGTGACGGTTTTGGGCATTGCAGGAGCATACCGTTCTCATAAGTTATGCAAACTTACTTTGGACAACGTCAATTTCAAAAATTTCGATGACATTATTGTAATTACAATTCTAGATTTTAAGAATGGTATGTCACGTACGTTTACAATTACTTCTCGTCTGGATTATGTTTCTCATCTAGAAATTCTCAAGAAATATAGCAAGATTAGATTGGAAATTAAAACTGAAATTTCACCCTTTTTTATGCATAATTTATACATTCTATGATTCCTAATAAGATTGAACAGTTTTTGTAACTAGAACATCCTGAAACATATACAGGCCATTCATTCCGAAGAACATCGGCAACGTTACTGGTTAATACAGACTAATCAAGAGATATGGTGGGTGGAAATCAACCACAATTGCAGAAAGTTATGTTGCTCACAGTTTAAGTAACAAAAATGAAATAGCCAACAGGATTTTTTACAATGGCACTTCAATTCTAGGTTCTAGTAGTACGTCGCATCATGCTCTTTTAATGGATCATTAATCAAATCATTTTGAGAATAATTATCCAGATTTTATAAATGTTACTAAATGTAATAACTGTACAATTACTATAAATATTCATTCATAATAATTAATAAAATGTAATGTTCATCAAATATTTCTATTTATTTGTTCATAAAATATGCATTTATAAGTCGAAATCGCTTTTTTTCCCTAGGGAGGTATGTTACTTCACTTATCCCACTTGTCCATAGCAACTTCCACTTCTATGGTAAAATCCACTTACCTTCTTAAATACAATGTATTAAATAGTCTATTTCCTGTAGTGGTAGCAGATAAAAGTTTATTATCAAAGCTTGGACATGAAAGTTTTTTGAGTAGTCAAAAAAATTAAAACAGTGTTCATTAATTCTGCATTGCTATGCACATGGGTCATTTTGAATACTTGTAAAATTAATGTAAACAATCACGGTAATAATAGTACCATGAAAACCAAAATAACAAATCTTGAATAGACTTTTAAAATATGAATTGATTGAATGGAATTTGATTTGTTTTTTATTATTATTGACACTAGTTTATATACTAACCTCTTGCTTTTGCTTCTCTGTACAACAGAGCAATGTTCTCTCCTATGCTCAGTTTGCTTGTCAGCGGATTGGGAAAGTTTCCGAACGGTATCTTGGGCTCGAAATGTGGAATATTCTTCCTCTTCCAATACTGGTAACTCCATTTGAAGTAGGCGTAGACGATAACTGTGAGTGTCACGAAGAACGCCAGCAAATCGTAGGCGATGGAGTTTGTGATGAGAACCATTGCCCTTCTGAAAAATAAGAAAAATCGTTGTATGAACAATTTATGTAATTCAAATAGAAAAATAGTAAGAACCTACAAAATTTTAAAGATCAGAGTTCTCTATCAGGGATATTTTATATATTTTTTTAATGATAACATATACCTATTAAAGTTGATAAGAGTCAGACTAAAAATTTAATTTTCTCTTTTTTTTCAAAATTACAGGAACTACAGCCGTGGAATATTGGTACAACGCGACACCTAGGGGAGCTGGTGTAAACCTATAACTGAATTGAATCAATACATTTCTTCATTACTAGATAGCATTCTATAAAATTTAAAGGCAGTTTCCATAGCTTCTCGTATTTTCCCGATGTTTGATACTAGATGGCGCTATACAAATATTCCAGATTATTCCTGTAACATTTTCTTGTTAATTTTTTCCATATATAAGGACCAATTTCGCGTGGTTTTCCGTTGGTTCTCGTTTACTGTTTCAGGTAAATTGCTTTGTGATTTCTGGACCAGTTTTCTGAAATCTCAGGAGTTGATCCTTGATACTTTTATATCAGAAAATAATTTGGGTTAGAATAATAAGTGCATTGGTGGCTGCACTAGTTCCATGTCTGGCGCATATTGAGGATTGCAGGCACTTATTCGAAGCAAAGCACATGTGTGCACTGTGGATCCATTATATTATTCACAAAGAAGGGTTTGCGTCAAAGGAAATGAGCCTTAGAATAAGAAGTGAATTATTTAATGCAGTTTCGAATTTATTTACGGTGCTTTGTCTGCTGGACTGGAGCACGAAGACGCCGTGGTACTCTGCAGCTTTAGTGGTACCTATATATTGACCAAGATATGGGAATCGGCAGCAGAAACCTTTCTATATGTCGATTGAGACAAAACTAGGAAAAGGCTTTTTTTATTACTCACCTTCAATGAAAAGCCAAAAAAGTTACCGGATATTTTTCCTCGCATCCTAACAATCATTTCATGCCTTATAGTTATAAAGTTTTTCTTTACTAAAACCCGTGAACGATGTACGTCGAGAGCGATGTACGCGCGCTCGTTCGAAAACTCAGAGTGCAAGAGCGCCACCTGCCACGTGTTATAAACTTTTATTATTAAGAAGTCACAAAGACTAAATAATAAAAAAGCATTAACAATTGATTTAATTACTGATATTTATAAGATTTACATAAATAATACAACAATTGTTTAAAGATTTTTATTAATTTATTTCTTTTTTAATAATGGGCTCATTATAAATGAATTTTGAATGGCGATAAGACCATACTCGTAGGTCATCAAACTTCTTACAGGTTGTGTCTTTCTTCTGCCATTTTAATATTTGTTTCGATAGTGGTTTCTGAATAATCTATAATATGAAACATCACATTTTTAAATATTTAAACTACCGGTTATATGATTAATTTTATTAATGCCTTGACAATGAAATTTACAATGAACTACGTTTTACCTTTTCCAAACTTGATCAAATAGTTTGTAGGATCCCCTTGCAAAACCGAATGGTGTTTGTAATTATTGTTTAATAAATAGATTAATATCAAAAACATATAAGTATATATAGGGCACTTGCACTCTGAGCTTTCGATCGAGCGCGCGTACATCGCTCTCGACTTACGCGCGTACTCTACGGATTTTGATAAAGAAAAACTAATAACTATAAAGCATGAAATGATTGTTAGGATGTGAGGAACAATATCCGGTAACTTTTTTGGCTTTTCATCGAAGTTGAATAATAAAAAATAATAAAAAAAGACTTAAACCAATACAACAAGCATTTTAGTTGAAATTTCACAACTTTCTAAACTGCTATCAATTGTTAAATAAATAAATGAATAAATGGAACTTACCTATCTTGTAAAATAAAGTTCAAGCTTTAAAATGAGATGTCGTGCGTCTCAATCCGTCCACTAAAACCAGAGATATGGTAAAATTGGTGCGCGCGGAGTCGGAAAATGTAAGATATTTGCACTAAATTTGCAATAACTTTGGCTAAAGTTAATATTTTTTTAATTTTCAAAAAAGTATATGTTTGTTATGAGAAAACGTAAGTATTAACGTATAAANGTGAGGGAGCCGCAAACCACATTCTTTCTCTTAGCGCATAGTATAATAATAATATCTACCCATACATTCAAAGAAAACTGATGTTGCAACCGATATTTCATTATAGACCGGGAGATATTAGACTGAAGTTCGACGACATCTTTCTCGTGTATGCCTCTGAGAGTACTGAAAGGTAACCGAGAGACAAGTACAATAAACTATATTTAAAAGATGGGCTGCGGGACACCTTTGTGAAAATTCAATTTTCCTTTTCAAAAAAATAATGTGTACAGCGACATATTTTTCACTTATGCCATGTTCATAAGTTGAAGAGAAGTATCGAGTATATTTTTTTGGCATAAGTGTCGCAAGGGACCTAAAAAAGGAAAACTTTGTAAGAAAATGTGAAAAACATCTTTATTTGTCTACCAATTTCTCATTAATGCCAATTAGACTAAAGAAAATAGGGCTTTGGAAAAGCTGCGGAAAATTTTTCGTTTTGGTTAACGTTTTTCTCGTGAATAAATTAAAGCTTATTACAAAGAAAAAAGTAAAAGTATTCATTTTTTTAAAGGGCATAAGTCCCTGGTGAGGACTATATGCTAAAAATTTTTTGAAGGGTTGTAAGAAAATTTACGAAAATTGACTCTATTTTCTATAACCCCCTATACCAAATTTGCTGCGATTCTATTATTTGAAACTTTGGTCGGCCATTTTGGATCCGCCATCTTGAATTTTACAAAATTGAGCTCGGATCCGTGATCAGCGACTCCGAAAACCCCCCTATACCAAATTTGGCGTGAATTTGTTATTTTTTGAAAATTCGTGATATCTGACCTTAATTGACCCGTTTTTTTTTGAGGTTAGAAAAAGAACCATTAATTCTGACCGCTCATTCACATTCGATGAGGTCTTAACTATATAAATGAATATTTTTTTTTTTCATACATACTGTCATATTAAATATGCACACCGAATTTGGTTGAATTATCTCAAGCGCTTAGAATTTAAAAAGTGATGTTTTTTTTAAATTTTTGATACGCTGTAGCTGAATAATGGCTGTCCCAAGACCCTACATTTATGTAACAAAAAACCCAAAATTTTGGCCACAGAATACGCCCCTGGCTTTTTGACCTCTACTTAAGGAACACCATGTATAGCGAAAATCTTTTTTCGCACTTTCCGATTAGGGTACTTCTAAATCTTTAACATTAAAAATGTAGTCTAGTTTTATACGACATTGGAATCCTTTGTAAAGTTGTGTTAAGAGAAAATATCTAATAAAAGCAATGTGGTACACTTTATGATATTAATTGTTAACACTTTATGGTATTAATTCTTAAGAAATAAATTTTCTTAAAGTTAATCAGTCTATTAAAGTTATCTCAAGATTTAATCACGTTGGTGCCACTTGAACTTTGTTTAAATATCTCAAAATTCATCTGTGTGCAATGATAAATCTGCTAGATGCATTGTTTATATATATATACAGGGTAGCCCATCGAAAACGTACCGCAAGGCATTACAGGGTAGTAAAGATCTTTTCGGCAAAATCCAAAAACAGGTCAAATTTGTTTCTGAGGGGGACAACTTTTGGCTCAAAAAGCATACCAAAATCTTCAACCCCCTAAGTGGGGGTGCTATCCCCTAAATTTTTTCAAATAGGAATGGGGGTCAAGTGGGGGGTCATTAGAAAGGGCTTTTAATTCTCTATACATCGATTCTTACTTTTTGAAAATCGATTCATTATTTTAGAAAATATGCAGCTTTGAAAATACGAACAATATTTTTGACGAGAAATGCGAAAATCGATTTAATTTTACTTCAAAACTTACGGTATTAGTCAAGTAAATGCTGAAAATGTTGTCCGCCAACTTGCATACAATGATACAGGTTGTCTTCAAACCGTTGTCGAACATTCTGGAGCACTTGCGGTGTTACTTCGCGACATACATTAATGATTCGTCCTCGCAGATCTTCCAAGGTA